TTTAGAGAAAATTGATAAATATGAGAAATAGTTCTTATATTTAGGACCAAAACCAACTCAATAATTAGATCCTACATTAAGGATCGGAGGAGTATATAGGTTTGTCTAATTTCATGTAATGAGTAATCTATCATGCTAAACATTACTTTCTCAATTTCAATTTTAATATCTCATTTTTAATATTTCGTATCAAACTATGCTTTAGGTACTCTTTTTTCCTTGGTGATCGTACTCTTTTAACATGACTGCCTCACTTTACGTAGCTGGAGTTGAGATTTAATAATCTTCTAAAGTAAAAGTGTATCTTTGACTTTTGAACTTCGCATAAATTTTTATTTTGATCTTTTAATTTAAAACAAAATGTTCAGATTGAAATTTTAAATTAAACTGATAATACATTTATAACGATTAAAGGCCACATTTTAGGTTTATGAGGCACTGACATATAAAATTATCATTTGAAACTAACAATATTAAGCTTAAAGAATTTTTTTTTTAAAAAAATAAAAATGCTTAAGTCAGATTCTTTATATTTATTATGTTAAATTTTTCAATCACATATGGTCATGTATCTTATTTTATATATAAATTTATAATTAAAATGATATTAAATGCTAATATTTTAAAAATAGGACAAATGGTCATATGTGATTGGAGAATTTAGACATAATGGACATGAAAAATTTGATGCAAGTATTATTTTTAAAAAATAATAATATTTTATCAAATTAAAAAACCAAACTAAACGTTATATAAAATAATAATACTTTTGGTCTTAGTTATAAAATCTTATTTATTGAATATAAATGAGATTTTATAATTAATAGAATCAAAAGTTTGCTTTTGCTCCATTTTAATTGTAAGCCGTTTCAGTCCAAAAAATAGGATGCCATTTTGAACTTCAAATTGGGCTGGTCGTCGGGCTCAAAATTACTTGGGCTTATCAAGTGAGGATTTTTAGAGTCAGCCCAGTTCATAAACCATGAAGTCCAGAGAACAAAAAAAAAAAAGGAGAAACTTTCGTAGCTGAACTCGAAGGTTGAACAAGGCGCTTCTTCCTTTTCTCTTCAGTGTTCCCTCTAGCCTCCAACCAGGCAAAGGGAAAATATCAGAAGAGAGAAAACAAAAGAAGAAAAACCTGAGGGAATATATGGTATCGCATTTGATATCAAGAAAAGCGTCTGGGTTTCAATTCATTATTATTCAGAACAAGAGTATTTAGTTACTTTGTTCGCTGCTATGCGTTCACTCTGATATGTTTCAACGTCTTGGCGCTCACCGCCACATATACCGCTCTCAAATCTCCAAGTACGTTAAAACAGGACTCATCGACAAAGCCATTCAAGTGTTCAGCGAACTGACCCAATCAAAATGCCGCGTCTTGAGCTTGGATTACAATCGCTTCATCGGTGTTTTGGTTCGCGAATCGCGCTTCGATTTGGCTGAATATTATTATTGTAAGATGAATCTCCAAGGTTTTTCTTTGACGCCATTCACTTACTCGAGGTTTATTTCTGGTTTGTGTAAAGTTAAGAACTTTAGTCTCATAGAGAAGCTTCTTCAAGATATGGATACTCTGGGTTGTGTCCCTGACATTTGGGCTTTTAACATTTATTTGAATCTTTTATGTCATGAGAATAGGTTAGACATGGCTCTACAGGTCTTCTCTAGCATGTCTGATAAAGGAAGAGAACCTGATGTTGTATCATATACCATAATTATTCACGCATTATGTAAATCCGAGCGCCTCGATGAAGCCACACAAATGTGGGATAATATGATTGAAAAGGGGTTATCCCCGGATTGTAAGGTTAGCACGGCGCTTGTTATTGGGTTGTATAGTGGTAGAAAGGTTAATTTGGCATATGAACTTACAGTAAGTGTTATTAAGGGTGGAGTTGATGTTAATAATTTGATTTATAATGCTTTGATAAGTGGATTCTGTCGGATGGGTAGGATTGATAAAGCACTAACTATCAAATCGTTCATGAGGAGAAATGGGTGTGAGCCGGATTTGGTTACGTACAACATATTGTTGGATTATTGTTGCAATGAGCTTATGCTGGAGGAGGCAGTGAGGTTGATGGAGAAGATGGAGAGAAGTGGGATGGAACTAGATGTATATAGCTATAATGAATTGCTGAAGGGTCTCTGCAAAGCTCATAAGCTGGAGAAGGCCTATGTAATGATGGTGAAGACAATGGAAAGGAAAGGGCTGTGTGATGTTGTTTCATATAATACCATTATTAGAGCTTTTTGTAAGGCTCGTCAGATCAGAAAGGCTTACAAGTTGTTTGAGGAAATGAATGGGAAGGGAATTCAACCTGATGTGGTGACATTCACAATCCTTATAAAAGCTTTTTTGGAAGAAGGTAACTCTGATATTGCCAAGGAACTTCTTGATCAAATGACAAGTATGAATCTGCTTCCTGATCGTATATTCTATACAACAATTGTTGATTACCTTTGCAAGTCTGGGAAGATTGATATGGCTTGCAGTGTCTTCAGTGATATGGTGGAGAATGGAATAAGTCCTGATGTGATCTCATATAATGCCCTCATAAACGGACTCTGTAAAGCCTCTAAAATAACAGATGCCATGCATTTATATAATGAAATGCAGATGAAAAAACTCTGTCCTGATGAGGTGACTTTCAAGTTGATCATTGCAGGTTTATTAAAGGAAAACAAGCTTTCTGTTGCTTGTAGGGTTTGGGACCAAATGATGGAGAAGGGTTTTACACTTGATAGAGTCCTTTCTGAGAGTCTAATCAATGCCATCCAATCAAGTGATGCTACATGAGGAATGCAGTGGTTTGTATTCTGTGAACCTCCGAAAGACATAACAACTATATATACTCTTTCTGCAATGAGAGCAATAAATCTTTGCCAAATCATTCTGCTCCTCACAGTGCAATGGCATGTGCTGTCGCTGGATTCTGTGCTCACTTGTGCTTTTGCACTGTATGATATGTATCCTAACCTTCTATGCTATTTAATTGTTATTTGACTTGTTTACCTGTTGGTGCTAGTTTTGTATTCTTCTTGGGATGCCAGCCTATCCTTGTTATGCATTGCTTCACTAGGTTGAAGTTTATGATGTTCACTATACCATCTGTTGTGTGTTGCAGAGCATTAGTTTGGACTTTGGAGCTACTCATTCAACAGGCATTTCTCCTCGGTGTGACCAATATCTAGTTCCTTCTACCACAACGTTTACCCTGGTACATCCTTGAACGGAAAATTTTTTTTTTTTCAGATTTTAAAGCACTGACTTTCTTGGACATTATCTAATGGGTGAATATCTGGCTATACATTTAAGTTCCAAGACTTCTTATAATGCAACAGGTGATCGTTGAAGAAGAGAAGATCCCCTAGTTAGCCTTGTTGGGCCCAGGCTTTAAGTATTCAATTGAATAACATTATTTAAAAAAAAAAAAAAACTGTGGTGCTGTTACAACTTGCAACCTTTTTGTGGTTTGTGATTTCTATTGGCAAGAAAAATCCAGATTTGTTGGCTTATATTGTTTGAAATTTCAAACTTATATGATATGTTATTGCTTTCTGTGAATTGAGGGGAAAAGACAAAACTAGAGGAGAAATTGTTTGAATGAAACGTTTAAGACAGATACGTCTCCCTCTTACGCAGATGTTTATGAGCTAAAAGGTATTATGTAGTCCAATATGTACGGTGTACTATAATGTAGTACAATGAATCTGAATGCTACTCTAGTCTATATATGATTAATCTAGCATTTCCGTTACCTCGTGAATACTTTGTTAAAATTTTGACTGTCCTGTGATGTAATTCACCCGTGTACATGGCAGGATGAAGCAAGTTTGTTTAGGAAAATGTCTCCATGCAACCTGCACGTATCCAAGCATGTTTGAAGTTCTTTAAACTCAGCACGTTTTCTTAAGCGGAGAATTTGCTTCAACCCGTAACACTATTTTGTCCTCTTTGCCTCTGCCAACTCCTATCTGATACAAGATTAAGAGAACAAAATGAAAAATGCTTGGACGCATGTATCCTTTAGAGATTGCATAACGTTGTTGAAGGATTCTGAACTACCGAATCTCAAGATATTTGGTAAGTTTTCTGCCACTTTTTGGCTCATCAGTGCATGAAAAATAATATCATTTAATCACTCAATATAAAGAAAAGAATTTGTGCCAGGTCATATTCCATGTAGTTGTGGTGAAACCAAGAACTTGTGACATGTAAACATGTTGCTTTCTTGCTACATATCTAGTTTCTTTAACATAAAATATAATGTCAATCTCCTAGTATGTTGAATTTGCTCTCATCTGACAAAACTTAAGCTGAAGTTCTGTGCGCATTTTGCTTCGGTCTTAATTGATATAGATGTGGACTTTATCTTTTGAAGTTATTATTACTCCTTTGGTCTTATTTATAAGTCACTTCTAATATATTTCACACAGACCAATAAAAACTTTAAACTGCATGAACTTTCCTGAAAAATTCAACAAATTTTCAACTTTATCCCTATTTAATATATATTATATCTCATGAAAACAAAGTCAACACAATAACAAATGAAGGGTAAAATTATACATTCATGTGAAAAATTTCTCTTTCTGTCTTATATATAGGACAACAAAAAAAATCTCTTATTTCTCTTCCTTATAAATAAGACCAGAGGAATAATTGCTAATGCTAAGATGTGTTGCTTGAGCACCAGTTCATATTTTGATACATCTTTTAAATATGCTACCTTTGGTGTTAATATAAGAGTTAGTAACTAATTTGAATATATTAAAAATATTAGTTAAGTTGGTCATTTATAATAAATATGTGTTGATTTCTTCAAACTATTCTCATTAATCATGTGTATTGGAACAACTCTTTGGTAGGAATTCCTTAAAATCAATAAAGACATTTTGAAGAAAAAATCATAAATTTGGAAGACAAAGTGGATTGAGGTTTTATAGGATCAAATTTTACCCACCAACTAGTTTTTATATTAAGGACCGGAGGTAATATTTTCTATTGATGAATTACTAGTTGTTGTAGTTTGCCGTAGGATATGATGGTAATTACACAATTTTACACTGATGTAAATCCACTGTTTTTGGTAAAAACCAAAAAACATGTAAATTCACTGTTGTTATTAAAATTTGCAGGGGCAGTCTTCCTTATCTGATTAATGCCATGGCAGAGTTCGAATTCGATTCTACACTGTTGAAATACTAGCAGCACGAGCGAAATGTAACCAGGAATTGTTAGAAGTCAGTGTTCAGGAAGTCGGTAAGCTTATACTGTCAAGTTCAACTATTGGACACACATCTGACATCTCTGAGTGCCCATTTTGTGGGGATGAAAAATATTCATGGCAATAAAACAGAGCTTGCCTTAAGCTTCTTTATACAATCAGTAGTTCTACTTAAGGAAGTTTGAGGAGAAATTTCCCCAAGGCATTTACCACGCGGCCAGATTGGCCCCTCCGACTCCGAGCGGATTTCAACTTGCGGCAGCATCGGTTTGATTTTGACCGTTCAGGCGTCTGTTGGCCAAGTTACAGAGCTGGTCTAGTGGGTGATGTTTTTCATCCTGGTTCACAGCAATCGATTTTAGATTTAGGCTTGCTTGTTTAAAATTACCAAAAAAAAAAAGTGGTTTCAGTTGAATAAATATAATGGAGTGGCTAACTGCGATAATTAGATCAGCTGGTTGGGACTATTCTAGTTTAACCATGAGTTTTGAGTTCGAGATATGAGAATGCAGCATTTTAGGAGCCAGTAGCGTCAACTTTAATGGTTCCTGTCATGTCTTGATTCGAATTAGTTTGAGTTAGTTGTTGTGCCTGAAAGATGGTTTGACTTAGGATATGGGGTGCTTATACTATAAAAAGGGGGTAACTTGTAAAGATGGTAATGTGTTGAAAACCTACTTCTAGCTTATTTTGGTAATTTACATCAAAATAAGTTAAAATTAGATTATTCTCAACACAACTTCTCATCTTTTCTCTAACAACTTTTTTATATTTGATCAGCCAAAATTACTTTTTCTCTAATTTTAATTAACGAGTTAGTCCATCTTTAATTCATTCGAGTATATTCTGGTGGGTTTTAGATTACTTATAATTTGTTTTTTTGTAATTCAAAAGCATCTCCTAGATATAGTCTAGAAAAATGGATTTTTACTTGTATGCATTTATTTATTTGGGAAGAAAGTGATATGGGAAAATGCAATTAGTCGGATTGTAAAATATTTTAATTCACAATTTAGGGACAGCTTTGCCACATTGCTTGAATTAAAACAGGAAATTAAAACTTAGTTTTTTTATTCAAGTGTTTAAGATTAATTAGTACAATACACTAACAGTAAAATTCAGACTTAGTAAAGCTCAAGTTCTTCATATTTTGCCTTTGGAAAATTAACCAAGACAAAAAATAGGAAAACGAACTAGAAAGATTGTCTCCACTCTTCCCAAACAAACAGCTATACACGTCTCGCGATTTGCCTTAAAATGAATCATTGGTGATATTCCTCTAGGTGATGCTCATTCCTATTCTCTATTTTTCCTTTGGAAATGATCACTAATTCCTTCTGCTGTAAATATCTCAACTCAATCTTCTCAAAAGAAAGGGCTCTTTTCATCATAGCAAAGGAAACCATTCTTCCTGAACAGCCTCCGAGCTGCAACCCTGATTGACAGACCCATCTGTGATTAAGAACATGGTTTAGCTAAGGGCTGGGGCATCCGTATATCACTGCTGAAGTGAAAGAAAATGTGATGTGTTCACAGTATTTGACTTACAAGCTCAAGCATCGTCCCTTGGACATGCCCACGCGTGCCTAGCTCAAACAACCATCTTTCTAAATTTTGGGAAAAAGAACATCACAAATGTGTCAATGCAAGGATCACAAAGGTCAACCAGATGGTAGGTCAAAACCAGCAGATACTCGGGCTGTACAGTATAATGGTGGCCCATTAATACCACCATTGCTCCACCAAAGAGATTGTTCAAGAGATTGGTGCTACAAGCTACATTTTCGGTAAATGTGAAAATGAAGAAATCACAATAAGAAAAGCAGAACAAATGGTGCAATTATAAGAAAGGTTCAGAGAGCTCCATCTCATTTGAAGCCTGTAATTGTTGTGCATCAGGCCGATGAGGTCCTACAAAGTCCATGCCAAGCCACTGCCATGGCCAGCACACATATCTAGGCCTACTTCGGCTCCTTGAGTCTTCCCTGCTCTCGAACTCTTCGAGCTGACGTGTAAGCTCCTCCACTCTTTCCCTTAGCCGTGATGCCCTCAAGTCTGCCAGCCTCAAAGATTTCTCTGCTGCATCCCTTGCTGCCATTGCAGCAGTTGTCGTCTCTTCTTTGAATTTTAGTTTTTTCTCCGATTCCAGCATGGATTGCTTTGCCTCCTCAAGTTCCTGCTTAACTGCTGACAGCTGCAGATTTTCCAACCAGTAATTAGGAATATTGCATCTTCAACGAGGAATACTAGCCAGTAGTAGCAATGTAAATATCGAATTTTGTAACACACCACAATATTAACCTGCTGTTATTACAGTGATAAACTTGTTGAGCAAACCCGTAAGAGTACTTTAAAAGAGGCACATCAGAATATGATGAGTGCATCAGTAATTTTGAATTTCACATTTCATTGTTGCTCAACCAAAGCTGGAACTTTACCATTGAACGGTTTATATATTTAGTGAAGCTTTGAATTATGAGAATAGTGGAATTTACAAAATTAAGAGGAAAAAATGATTATTTCCATCTGTGATTAACATAATCATTCTATTTAATCCCAACAAATAATCGTGAATATCCAGTAAGATTGCTATAACAGGGGGCATACCTGTGTGGCAAATTCTTGTTCAACAGCTCTTCCTGCGCCAGCTTCTTGCTCTGCTGCCACCTTCCATCTATTAATTTCTTCTTCAGCAGAAGCAATGTCAATCATTAACCCCTCAACCTACATCATAAGTAGGTTAAGTTCATACTTAGAATCAAAGAAGAATTAACAGTTAAATCCTATCATACAATCCACAGCATACTCAACATTGATAGACAATACGCAAATGATTAGTTCTTTTTTCCTTTTTGCATGACAAATGACAGGTAAATTTAACCAGTGTTTGGGTGACAGTAACTAGATCGATCTAATGACGAAGAAAAGATATGTAAGCATACACTTTCATTTGCAACTTTCTCCTTCTCTTCAAGTTCTTCTATTCGTTGCATTCTAAGGTTCAGCTCTTTGGCCTGATCTTCGACGTGCTGCTTAAGTAAACTCAACTCTGTCCTTAATTCAGTTGAACAAAGTAGTAAAACCCACAATAAATTTAAAAAAGGAAAGGTCAGCATAACTAAAAACTGAAATTATACATAATCTCCAGAGAGTAAAAATGAGAAGATTTTCTTTCAGCCAATTTCAAATTAGATACACAGTAAAAATTTCGGAAATTTTCTCAGTCATGTACCTTAATTCATCTCTAGCATGCTGCAGATCAATAATCTCAAGCTGAGAGGCCTTAACAACGTTCTCCAAAGCAGCAGCCTGTGAGCAGTATATTAATATAAAACTCACCACGGAAACTTCAAAGTGCAAACAACATTAAAGGCAATAATTTACAATGAAACAAAACAATGCTAGCAAACACTTACCAAAGAGCATATGTCATCCTCTTCTTTTTCCGTTACATTTGCCTTGTCGTTTGAAGCTGCATCCCTTCCGTCTCCAAGAAGCTTACTAAATTTGAAATCTATCCCAGCCTCCCTCAAACCATTTTCTGCAGCTAGGAACAACTCATTTTTTCTGGAAGATGGATCAGATGTTATCCTCTTCGACAAAGCACTTCTAAG